CCGGTGCATCCAGAGTGGCTGCACAGGTCACATCCCATGGACCGTTCCCTGCCTCTGTCCTCTTGCTTGAACGGCCAGCCCAGGGCAGGTGCGGGGGAGGGGGAATCTCCTGGTGTTTTTTTTTTTTAAGATGTATTTGTTTATTTGAAAGTCAGAGTTACACAGAGAGAGGAGAGGCAGAGAGAGAGAGAGAGAGAGGTTTTCCATCAGATGGTTCACTTCCCACATGGCTGCAACGGCCGGAGCTGCGCGATCAGAAGCCAGGAGCCAGGAGCTTCTGGGTCTCCCACATGAGTGCAGGGGCCCAAGGACTTGGCCATCTTCTACTGCTTTCCCAGGCCATAGCAGAGAGCTGGATTGGAAGTGGAGCAGCCAGGTCTTGAACCGGCGCCCATATGGGATGCTGGCGCTTCAGGCCAGGGCGTTAACCTTCTGCGCCACAGCGCCGGCCCCTCCTGGTGATTTTGACTTAGCACTGGGCGTCTTTTCCTGGGCTCCTGGTACGGTCACAAATCTTCTTGGGAGAATTGTCTGTTCAAATATTTGGCCCATTTTTTTTTTTAGTACACTTATTGGTCTTTTTATTGTTGTGCTGTAAGTTCTTTACATATTTTGGAAACAAGTTCTTTTTTCCACACCTCTTGAAATGTAGGAGAGACATGAGTCAGGCCACGGTTGTGGCTGGCTGCAACAGACTGAAGAGTTCACTGCCAGGTGACAGAAACCTCGCGCAGACCACATTCCATCCCCTGCCGAGGGTTCACCGAGGGCAGAGCCTTGGGGGGCACACACAGAACTGCCCCTCTCTGGAGCCTGCTCACTGCCCAGTTACACCTCTGAAAACCCTAGCCGATCGGAGCTAGAGAGCTGCAAGGGGCGCGAGGTGGTAGGATGCCAGTCCGTTAGTGCACAAGGGGAGGGGAGTCTTTCTTTTCCAAGGAGCAGGGGCTTTGCTTTCTTAGGCAAATGAGATGGTACAGGAAAAAGGGTGCTGGAATTGTAACGGGTATGCAAATGTAAGGTGAGGTTCTCATTGTTCCTGTTGTTGCCGCTGGGAGCCAATTAAAATCCTTCTAGGATATCACAGAGCTGGGGGGTGAAACTTCAGCTGATTGTGTGTGTGTGTGTGTGTGTGTGAGAGAGAGAGAGAGAGAGAGAGAGAGAGAGAGAGAGAGAGAGAGAGAGATTTGTGATTTCTAAGCATATTCCGTTACCAAATATATAATCATTTACTTGCTGTTTTTCTTTAAGTCAGTTCCTATTTCTTTTAACTAAACACATATTTATAAAGGAAACTGTACATCCCAGCCAGGCATGCTGGGCCCGCCTCCTGTTCGGAGTGGAAGGCACGAGAACGTGGCACTGTGCTGGATTCAAGCTGGCCCGGCTCACTGCTCCGTCTCTCTGGTCTCGGCTCCCGGGGCCACCTCCCTGGGAAGGAAGGCTGCCAGGAGCCCCAACCTTGTGGGTTTTCCATGCCTTCCCCCTCTGGGTCTCCCACCGTGGCTGAGTGATGCGGGCTGCACGGGGGCAGGGAGCTGTCGGTCTTAATCACCCCGGTACCCCTGCCTGGCTCAGTAAACGGGGGTTAAGCCCGCATCTGCGGAGGCTGTAGAGTGCTTCTCTCCGTTGCTTCTGTTCCGCATTTAGCAAGTGGCAGCAGGAGCCGAGGGGGCCGCTTGCCCCTCAGGTCAGCAGGAGGGCAGAGGGAGACTGGGGTGTGATTCCCCGCACTGCAGGCACCCCCAGCTCTGCCACTGCACACCTGGCTCTATCCTCACTTGCCCACTTGGCCGCTGAGAGGTGCCTGCATGGGACCACGTCACCTCGCTATCCGGGACACCCTACCGACCTCACGGAGTTCTGCGAGCACGGACGGAGACAGCTCCCGGGACCCGCCTGGCAGATAGCATGGATGACAGCAACCCGAGAGATTTACTCAGTGAAGGGATCAAACGGCTGCTGTGGAGGCGGGCATTTGGCCTGGCAGTTAAGGCGCCTGCATCCCACGTCAGCACGCCTGGGCTCCATCCCCAGCTCCGGCTCCCGACTCCAGCTTCCTGCTAAGGCACACCTCGGCGGCAGCACATCTTGGCTCAAGGACTTGGGTCCCTGACACCCTTGGGGGGAGATCCAAGCTCCTGGCACTGGCCTGGCCCAGCCCCAGGTGCTGTGGGCGTTCAGGGGTCAATCAATGGATGGGAACTCTCTCTCTTTGCCTGGCTCTCTGCCTCTAAAATAAATAAGCACAAATTTTTTTTAAAAATTACTAACTTTGATTACTAACTTTGCCTGCTAAAGAGCTTCTGCTTCCTCCGGGCCCAACTTACAATAATAATATTGTTAGTTTCCCTTTATTGAGAACTCAGTATGTGCCAGGCACCTTGCCAGACAAGAGCTTTCTATGCGTCCCTGAATTGTATCCTTGCAAGGATCATAAAGCAGGGGCTTGCTAGTCCCATTTCACAGACAAGGAGACTGAGACTTCAAGAGGTTCTGTCACTTGCCATCCAGACCTTTCAAAATTCCAAACTTTTTTAAGATTTATTTTATTTATTTGAAAGGCAGAGTTAGAGGGAGAGGGAGAGTTAGAGGGAGAGGGAGAGGGAGGGGGAGAGAGAGAGAGAGAGAGGAGAGAAGAGAGAGAGAGAAGGGTCTTCCATCTGCTGGTTCACTCCCCAGATGACCTCAACAGCCAGAGCTGGGCTGATCCGAAGCTGGGATCCAGGAGCTTCTTCTGGGTCTCCCACATAGGTGCAGGGGCCCAAGGACTTGCTGTTCTCCCATGTTCTCTACTGCTTTCCCAGGTCATTAGCGGGGAGCTGGATTAGAAGTGGAGCAGCCAAGACTGAAACCAGCACCAGTATGGGACGCTGGCACTATAGGCAGAAGCTTTTTACCTTCTACACCACAGCGCCAGCCCCCAAGCCTGCATTCTCAGCCATCAGGTTCCAACAGCCACCTCACACCCCACCTCCATGAGGACTTCCTGCCCAGCAGCCTTGTCCCTTCACATCCTCACAACTCAGTGCTGTCGCCTCTCAGGTGCCGGCTGCCTCGGAGTGCATGTGTGTGCGGGAGGCGAGCCAGCGCTCCCTGAGGCCTGAGACCACGCTGGAACATCGACAGTTCTGCCCGGACCCCGCTGCATCCCCAGCCCCCTGCACAGACGGCACCTGTACCTGTCCAGTCAGTGAAACAGTGGGGGCTCCTCTGTGTCTGCTGCCAGGCGCCCGCTCTGCCGAGGACAGAGAAGAAGTGGGAGGCTGCATTTCCCGAGACCCGGATGAGCTCCCCGGGAAGCGCCGGGCTGTTTCCCTGGCTGAGTGTGTGGAGGGGCGTGGCTCTCGCCCGGCACCTGCCCCGCGAGGGGAGGGCGGGTGGGAGTGCAGACCATCCTGGAGGCTGAGAGGGGGTCGGCCCTGGAGGGCCCTCTGGGCCTGTGACACCTGGGCTGTGCTGGACGTCCTCTTTGCTTTTCCAGACTCACGTCTACCGGCGCCACCCTCCCCCAGGCCGTGGGGAGATCAGAGAAACAGGAGAAGGCGGTGCTGCGTGTTTATCCCACAGGGGATTGTCCGGGGCTGGGAGCAGCGGTCACTGGTCCCTGCTTTCTGTCTCAGATGCTCCCCTGCACCTGACCCCCCTCTGGGCAGAGTCCCTGTCTGAGCAGCTGCTCACACAGGTCCACCTTGAATGGGCCCTCAGGCCCTGGGGGACCACTGAGGCCGTGCGATGCCTCTCCTGTGCTGTGGGGCTACTTCTGGAGGCCAGGGCCAATGCTGCACCTGCTCCAGGACCCGGGGCCTGGTTCTAATAGGTAGCAGTTATTTTTATGTATTTATTTTTAAAAAGATTTATTTATGTATTTATTTGAAAGACAGAGTGACAGAGAGAGATAGGGAGAGACAGAGAAAGACAGAACGAGCTAGCCTCCATCACTGGTTCACTCCCCAAATGTCTGCGACAGCTAAGGCTGGGCCAGGACAAAGCCAGGAGCCAAGAACTCCATCTGGGTCTCCCGTGTGGGTGGCAGGGCTCAAGCGCTTGGGCCATCTGCTACTGCCTTTCCAGGTGCACTAGCAGGGAGCTGGGTCAGGAGCAGAGCAGCTGGGACTCACTCCAGCCTCTGAAATGGGGTGCTGGGGTCACAGGTGGCGGCGTAACCCCGAGGCCTCACCCCCGAGATGACATTCCTGAGCTCTTCCTATTTGTGCCGGCCACTGTTCCGGAGGGTTTCAAACAGTTCTTGGAAAATATAAAAAACTATGCACGGATTCCATGGTTTTCTTGTTTTGTTTTTTGTACAAAAATAGCCTTATCGTTAAATCTCATTTTCTACGAACTTTCTGAAGTGCCCGCTTATTAGCACTATAAACCCAGGCTGGCGCCGCGGCTCACTAGGCTAATCCTCCACCTTGCGGCGCCGGCACACCGGGTTCTAGTCCTGGTCAGGGCGCCGGATTCTGTCCCGGTTGCCCCTCTTCCAGGCCAGCTCTCTGCTGTGGCCAGGGAGTGCAGTGGAGGATGGCCCAGGTCCTTGGGCCCTGCACCCCATGGGAGACCAGGATAAGTACCTGGCTCCTGGCTTCGGATCAGCACGGTGCACTGGCCGCAGCGTGCTGGCCGCGGCAGTCATTGGAGGGTGAACCAACGGCAAAGGAAGACCTTTCTCTCTGTCTCTCTCTCTCACTGTCCACTCTGCCTGTCAAAAACAAAAACAAACAAACAAACAAACAAAAAAACCAAAAGCATAAACCCCACAGCCATCCGTGGTCATGAGCCCCATCCTCCAGACAAGGAGTCCAAGACACACAGAGGGTAAGCAGCTTGGCCCAGGGCACATGGTCGCGGCTTTTAACCAAGGCAGTGCAACCGCTGAGTCACCGATGCGGGGCTGCCTTTCTGTGTGTTGTCCTGGGACTGCTGTCTCAGCCTGGAGACCCACAAGAACCTGTTTCTTTGCCAACCCCGGGGGACTCAGGTAGAATGGGCAGAAGGTGGAATGTGGGTCACCATGGCAACCGGATCAGCAGGTGCACCCTCAGGCTGAGGTTCTCGCGCTGGCAGAGAGGAGGGCGAGTGGGCATGGGGCAGTGCCTGAGGTACCAGATGCACTGGGAGGACCTGGAGGAGTACCAGGTGGGTAGAGGGGGCTGGAGAGTCTGGGCAGTGGCGGGAATGTCCCAAGCCATGTGGGTGGACGGCAAGCTCCTGCATGGAGCACTGGGGTTCACTGGGCGAGATGGTGGAGGCCTCGTGTTTGCTAACCCTGCCTCTGTGTGGCCCAGGTCTGTCCTCGGAGGCTGCCTCCCCTTCTGCTTCTTGCCACAGAGCCCACTCTCCAGGTCTGGGTCAGCACCCTCCTGCCCAAGGCCATCAGGAGACCCAGGGACGGCACCAGTGACTCTTCTGCCACTACCTCAGGCTGGGCTGCCTCAGTTTCCCAGCTCCCCACTCCCCAGAGAGCCGGGGTAGGGGTGGGCCGAGTGCAGCACTCACCTCTCTGGGGTTTGTTGCAGGCCCTGACCTTCCTGACCAGGAATGAAATTCTATGGTGAGTAGAGGTCTGGAGCCCTTGCCTTCCCCTGCTGGGTTCCCACGCTGGTCCCTGGTCAGAGCCACACAGCCCTGGAGAAGAGGCGGGGACAGGCCTGGCAGGGTCCCGGAGGCCCCAGGGTGTTGAGTGAGAAGCATCAGGCTCTGGGCCGCCATCCAAGGCAGGTTTTCTGCACAGCACCACAGGGCTGGGGGCACCTTCTGGGAGACGCAGGGCCAAAGTCCCTGTGGGTTGTTCATGGCTGGGCGGCTATGACGTGCCAATGAGCGCAGCCTCTCCCCTCTCCTCCTCCCTCCTCCTCCCCCCACCCTCCCTCCTGTACCTGGGGTGTGAGGGTGAGCTGTCCCAGGCCCTGTTCTCACACAGGTGCCTGTCCAGGGCGGAAGAGTCTCAGTCAAAGACAGGCACCATGCAGCATGGAGAGGCTGCAGCCACCTCCTCAGGGGCCTGTGGAGAGGTGGAAGACAGGTGTGGCCAGGCTTGGCCCAAGCCAGGCGCTCAAAAAACTCCCTTAGGTGAACACACTGGCTCACCAGGTCACTTCTGGGGAAGGTGAGGGTGGGGCTGGAGCGGCGAGGTCATTTAGACCCTGGCCTGGATCCATCTCCATCCCCCTGACCGTCTCTGCCCCGATGAACCTTCCCCAGGCACCTCGTCCAGCCTGCACGCCAGCAGTGTGGGACCCTGTAGGCACACACAGGAATGCGGGCTGGCCAGGGCACAGGGAGCTACGGAGGCCAGTGACGGCCTTGCAGCTGTGCTGTTTCCTTTGAAAAGTAGCAGTCATCTGTTCTTCTAAACCCAGAAAAACGTGGCAAGACCCCCTGACCCGCTTCCTGCGGCTCAAATAACCCCTGTTGTTTTTTTCTGAAAGTAGCACAGGAATAAGGCCAATGCCTCTGTTCTCTCCTCCCTGCAGCATAGGGGGTTACATGCATCATGGAGCCTTCCAGAACTTTCCAGGCAAAGACCTGCACACAGGTCCTTCGACAGCTCTGCCCCACCCATCCGCAGGGCTGGCCCCACACGTACAGTGCTCGGGACCTCATTTGGTTTTGGGTTTTCCTGTTGACCAGTTGTACAGAAAGCACCTGGCGACCTGCCCCATTCTTTCTGGAGGGCCCTGGATCGCTCCCTTACGGGGACGAACCCTGATCCATCCCCTGCCCTCTTGTGATGGACACTTAGGCTGCGTGGGGCTGGGCACCACGTACTCCTCCATATGGGTGCTGGTTTGAGTCCCGGCTACTCTACTTCTGATCTAGCTCTCTGCTATGGCCTGGGAAAACAGTGGAAGGTGGCCCAAGTCCTTGGGCCCTTGTACCCGCGTGGGAGACCCAGAGAAAGCTCCTGGCTCCTGGCTTTGGATTGGCACAGCTCCGGCCATTGCAGCCACAGGACCTTGGCTGCAGGAGCTCCTAGCACTGACGTACTGGGCAAAGAGGAGATGCCTCCGAGATTTGGGGAGACCGGGACGGTGCTCATCCACTCTCAGCTGTGACCATGCCCATTCCCCCTTCCACCCTTGGGGCTTCTGCATGGTGTCACTGGGTCCCAAGTCTCATCCCCGTGGCAGGTGGCCACGGGGCCCAAGGAGGGAGAGGGGCGTGGGAGGAGCTCATGCTCTTTCTTGATTTTCATTCATTTGGCTTTGGCCTCTGAAGGAGCCATCCTGGAAGGGAGCCATCCTTGGGTCTTCTCCCTTCTGAGCTGTCCTCCCAGGCCCTGGAAGGCCCCTCTTCCTGGAGAGAGGTGCACCTGCTCTGTGCTGGGGGGGGGGGGGCTCCCAGAGAAGGCTCCAAGCCAAGCTTCTCCAGCCAGCTTCTCTCCAGGCTCTGTCTGCTCTGCTTCTTTGGACAGCCCCATTCTTGAGCAAGAGGGGCCTGTGTGGGCCCCTGGGTAGCCCCTGCCCACAGGCCTCCACCCTCGAAGGCCTTGAAGAGCAGAAAGGGGTCAGCACTGGGGGATGGAGTGAGGAGACACTGCAAAGAGAGCTGAGTGCGGGCTTCTGCGTCTCCATGTGGGATTCCAGCACAGAAGACAGAATGACACCGCCCTGAGGACGGCCGGGAGCTCGGGGACTCCTGGGGTGACACGAGAGAGACGTCTCTGCGGCTCCCAACCTGGGTGAGCCTCCGGCCCCAGGAAACCACAGCCTGGGGAGCAGCTGAGACATGGAGCTGCCGCAGACAGCTCTGAGGGTGGGAGAGGATCGGTGGAGGCTGCAGGTGCCCAGAAGCTTGGGAAAGGCACTGGGGCCTGGCCGTTCACCAGCATCGAGAGGCCCCCGGCGGTGTGAATGCAGCGCATCCGCCAGTGAGGAGGAGGAGGAGGAGGAGGAGAGACTCTGGGTACCACAGGGAGCCATCTCCACAACACACAAAGCAAAGAAAGCCAGGGCCGGGGCTTCCAGGTAACACGGAGAACAGAGCATCTCTTTGAACACCTGTTTCCTCTCCCGAAAGAGCACAGGAAGAAATCCCTAAGGACGACAAGAACATGAGAGCTGTCAGCAGAGGAGAGAGCGCCGCAAGCCCAGGTGCCAGGCAGACAGGCGCAGCATCTGGAGGGCGAGCTGAGCACCGGCGGGAAGAGAGTTGCCAGCGGGGGTTGGGACGATGGCGTTGGGAACCCAGGCCGTGGGGGCCAGGCGAACACACAGAGGTGGGCTGAAAGCCTGTGTGGTTCCTTTCCTATCCCTGCATCCCACCGAGCACACTGCCCGCCCCAGCGGGAGACAGGAGCTCGCTGGGAGAGGGCTGGGTCCCCCAGGGACACGAAGAGCAGGGGGCACGTCTGCTCAGCATGCAGAGCTTTGCAATAAGTCTGACTGGAGAGCCAAGGGATGCCAGGTATTTGAGGAGAGTAACAGACAGGCTGCAGACACTCAGTGATGTCACCGTGACATCTCAGAGAGCCAGGGATAATGAGAAGTCCCTAAAAGCTTCCACAGAGAGAGAGAGAGAAAAAAAAATATATATATATATATAATAGGTTCTGCACAGGGGATCAGGAATCAGAAGAGCTTTGGACTTATTTTGGAAGACAGTGGCTAAACACCTTCAACATTCTAAGGGAATTTTCTAGTCTAGACTTAATCCTAGCTAAACTAGCAGGTGTTGGTGGCCATGACTACGACCACCGCTGAGGATGCCTACTTTGTTTGTTTGTTTTTTTTTTTTTTTTTTTTTTTTGACAGGCAGAGTGGACAGTGAGAGAGAGACAGAGCGAAAGGTCTTCCTTTGCCGTTGGTTCACCCTCCAATGGCCGCTGTGGCCGGCACATCGCGCTGATCCGAAGCCAGGAGCCAGGTGCTTATCCTGGTCTCCCATGGGGTGCAGGGCCCAAGGACTTGGGCCATCCTCCACTGCACTCCTGGGCCATAGCAGAGAACTGGCCTGGAAGAGGGGCAACCGGGACAGAATCCGGCTCCCCGACCGGGACTACAACCTGGTGTGCCAGCGCTGCAAGGCGGAGGATTAGCCTATTGAGCCGCGGCTCCGGCCCGAGATGCCTACTTTCTATATGGGAGTGCCTGCATTTGAGTCTCAGCTCCAGCCCTGATCCCAGCTTCCTGCTAATGTGCACCCTGGGAGACTGGAGATGGCTCAAGTGGCTGGGTCTCTGCCACCCATCTTGGAGACCGGGGTTAAGTTCCTCCCTCCAGCTTGGGCCTGGCTTCGCCCTAGCTAGAATAGGCATTTGGAGAGTGAAAGAGCAGATAGAAGATCTCTGTCTCTCTCTGTCTCTGTCTCTCTCTCTTTCTCTGTTACTCTGCTTCTCAAATAAAATAAATTATCAAGAGTGAAGGTGGAATAACATTGTTTCTTGACATGCAAATGTTTAAAGTTTACCTGTAGGAAGTTTTGGAGGATGAGTTTCATTAAAACTAGAAAGTAAACCAAAAAACAAGGAAGTCATGGATCCCAGAAACACTTTCAACATGGAAGAAGCAAAATGAATTGCAAAGCGATAGGGAAAGGACACCAAATGATGGCGACAATGCAACAGGCCCAGAAAGCAAATCAGTTCAGAACAGAGTTAAGGAACCAGGGGTCCTAAGCGTGGCACCTCCAAGAAAGTAAAATGAACCCATAGATCATGCGATGTCTTTAACCATACGAAGAGGAACTTTACAGCTATGCAGAGAAAGTTCGAAGGTGTTGTAATGTTAAACAAACTGAAACATAGGCAAAATAAAAACAAAGTGATTACTAACTCTGGGAAAAACAAAAGGCCTTGCAAAACAGAAAGCCATCATGTTACACTAGGGAACTTGGCTGTAGGCAATATAGGAATACAACTTCTTAATAACAATTTCAACACTGATTATTGACCTAGGCAAATTGTTTTATATTGGGAGAGGGCAGGGAAGAAATGAAGTATATATAGAGAAATAATGTTTGTTATAGCAGGAGGTCACAAGGTAAAGTCTATAATAAAAAATAATGTCAACATATGGTAGTATCAGGATACTATTAGAAATATTATGTAAACATTAAGTAAACAACAAGAGAAATAGCAAAATATTTGTAAAATGTTGCCTCTGGTGGGCAAGAGTAGAGAGGTGATGGGGAGGGAGTCTTAGGTATAAGTAATTTTAATGTAAGCTTTATGGCACTATCTGCATTTTTAACCCACTAAGCTGTATTACTTTGGTCAACCAGACTGTTATACACAGGATGCTACCATTTTTAAAAAAGATTTATTTGTTTATTTGAAAGTCAGAGTTGCACAGAGAGAGAAGGAGAAAGAGAGAGAGAGAGAGAGAGAGAGAGAGAGGTCTTCCATTTGCTGGTTCACTCCCCAATTGGCTGCAACAGCTGGAGCTGCACTGATCCAAAGCCAGGAGCCAGGAGCTTCCTCCAGGTCTTCCCATGTGGGTGCAGGAGCCCAAGGACTTGGGCTATTTTCTACTGCTTTTCCAGGCCATTAGCAGAGAGCTGGATCAGAGGTAGAGCAGTCGGGTCTTGAACCGGTGCCCATATGAGATACCGGGCACTGTGGATGGCGGCTATATCCGCTACGCCACAGTGCTGGCCCTGAGAATGCTGCCATTTTTGTAAAGGAACATGCATACCTAAACACGTGGAGAACACTCTGGAAGGTTATCCACCTGGACTGACAGGTTCTTGGAGAGGACCAGCTGCATGCAGGTTAATGAGGGTGCGCCGT